ACTGACAGAGGCGAGGCTGCCGGACACTGGCGCCACCGGGCCCTCTGACCACCACCAGTAGGCAAACATGGGGTTAGTATCTTGCCTAAGGATATTTGGCATGCAGTCCGGAGGCAGCCTGGGATTGAACCACCAACCTTTTGATTAGTGGCTGACCTGCTCTGCCACCTGAGCTACAGCCACCCCTATTATAAAATAGCTTTAATTATTATATTTTTAAATATTAATGCAATTTAATTAACACAATATTTTTTATCTTTCAATCTGAAAAATGTTACGAAAGCCTTGAAATAAATATGATCTAATACATCCCATGCCCGCCTTTAAACTCACCCCTGCTTGTTATGCTTGCAGGTATCACTGTCATGTAAAATGTGATGCCTACTGTCAGTTGTAAAGTGCTTTGGTTGCTCAGGTAGAGTAGAAAAGTGCAATATAAGAACCAGTACATTTACCATTTGGCCTTCAGCAAGCTTAAATGTGGTATCTAAGACTAAGTTAACAGTTCTACATATTTCAATTTAACTGCTGGAGGTTTATTGCAGATTTTTCAATGTAAAACAAACAGTGGTGGATGGAGCAGCTAGAAAGTTTGCTTTTCTTCATGTTGGAGTTTGTTGATCAGGTGCTTTGATGACTTCTGCTAGTTTTTCCTAATGGTGAGTACAGGAACAAGACTGCGGTTTTGGATGTTTCTTTCTTCACTCAACTTGAGCTCACCATCTTGATAATGGCCCCACTGTGAATGTTAATGTTTTAATGTCATTTGTGCTTAGAGATATATAATCGTTTGTATGTTGATAAAATATCTCATCCTTATTTAGGTCTGTTAAGGTTCTGTGTGCACTCTGTGCCACATGAGATGGGAGGACGTTTACTCCTTTCTGTTGTTTGGGAAGAGGGGGAAGTTCATGGGAAGGTCGCATCTTGTTTTATGATATATGGTATGGCAAAACAAACACTTTATATCTGTTCAGTTTCATGTCTTAGCTGCCCGCAATTCTCCCAGGAGGCACCTGGCGCCAATCATCTTGGGCAAACTCTTGGGAAGTGGTACAGGGGATCCAGCCCGAGTTCGGCTGGATTCAAGTGGAAGGAAGGAATGGCTTGACCTCGGTCGGCTCCCCTCGCGAGTGGTCACACGAAGAGCTCTGTCTTGTGTCTTGTTTTGTGGCCGCAGTTGGTTGTCTTAACGTTCCAGCAAGGTTTGTGCTTAGATAACCTTAACACCCACCTACTTGTTCTTTGTGGTGTGAGTGTAGACATACCCCACGTTAAACTATGACAGCATCATCATCACTGCTGCAATGACGATGAATCAGCAATCTTTGTTTTTTTTCAAAAACTAGGAGCTGTGTAGGCTTTTTTTTAATGCAGGTCTTTTTTAGGCACAATTGTGGGTAAAATGCTCAGGTTTACATGGTGACGACTGAACACTACAGAGCTGTGCATCAAACAAAGCATCAAAGCAAAGAATTTGTCTTCAGGCTTTTTTGTAATGTAATTATTTGAATTACTTGATGAATCATTTCTGCCTTGGTAACATCATCTTATTGCAACTGACTCTCAATTTCTCAAGTCACTGCTGACTGCATTTTTAAAATATGAAATTCAGTATT